CCCTCCCTTCAAGGTTTAACAACTGACCCTCCCCAGAAGGCAACCCCCGCGAGACTTGCCTAACTTCCAGCTACCTATTTAGTGACAGGTGAACAGAGACATGAGGTGACAGGAAACGTGCCTAACCAGTTCTGTCCCAGCTGAGATTCGAACGCGTAAAGTAAAGAGTGCGACAAGTCCAGATTCTTGACAACATGCTCAAGATGGTGGAGGTTGTGGCGGCCTTGTTCAGAGGCGTCTAGAGACCGGATCCTTGATCACATAGTACCCCGACACAGTCCCTGCCTCTCCCTGCTGCCCGCCACTTCACCTGAAGACGTCTATGATTACTCTGACATCTCAGTGTTTCCGGCCGCCATCTTAGCATCTAGAATATTCCACGACGAAAGAACATGGTATATCTTCCTTAATACCAAACTTCAGACATCCTAATGAACAGTTAATTGGACTGGTTGGCACAGCAACGATTTCACTTTGCAGGGTCGGGGTTCGATCTCCGTTGGTGTAAATGGTTGGGTATCGGTCCTTTACTCTTTCCCTCTTGCCTGGTTCCTATCCTGTCCTCGTGTTCCCTCCATGTGTTACATAGCCAAACAGGCTTAGACATTATTTCTGTCCTATTCTCTCCCCCCAAATATTTTATCGTCCATCTGTCCTCCTCCTGTCCTCCTCTTGCCCTCCTCTTGCCTGTCTCCCCCTGTTAGCCAGCTGCTTATATCCCCTCTATCCCGTCATTTAACCACCCATCTGTCTACTCATCCATATATTCATTTAATTATTAATTCATCCATGGAATTATCCATCCGTCCAAATAATAAATCCATTAGAGCAGAGATGAAGCGGCACTTCGGCCCTCCAGGGCCCCGACCCCTCCATGGAGGCATAATCCGGCCCTAGACCCTAATCCCTGAGTCAACTTGCAGCCCTAATCACCCTTTTTAAAGAAGCAGTTAATTTCTCCATTGTGCGAGTGTTTGTGCCGAGAAGTGCGGGGGGGGTGTCACTGGGGTAGAGATTACTGTAGGGCTTATGGCAGCCCAGACTGAGAGAGAGAGAGAGAGAGAGAGAGAGAGAGAGAGAGAGAGAGAGAGAGAGAGAGAGAGAGAGAGAGAGAGAGAGAGAGAGAGAGAGAGAGAGAGAGAGAGAGAGAGAGAGAGAGAGAGAGTTAGAGAGATCCTCAAAGTTCCGCACCTGGCCCAACACGGTGGACTACCAGTAGTTGCCACCCGTAGCACTAGGCTATCAACCTTCAACAGTCTCATGCTGGAAGTGCCTTTCTCAAGAACATCACTCCATCAGTGATCATTCACTCCGAGGCTGACTCGCATCAGGAACTTGTTCGCTCAACAGGTTGATACACGGGAGATCAGGTCAACTGATCACATGAAGACTCTGGCACACAGTTGGCTACAGGCTCATCCTCTTCCTTATATGATTGTTACCTAATGTTGTTAATGAATAAAGCCTATTCCTACTGATGCATATAACAGGCTCATGAAATAAATGGACCTCTAAGAGTAAGTTTCTAATGAGCTGAGGTAGGATAACAGCTCTTGCTTGCAGTTTCACTAGGTACGTCATTTGGCAGCCTTTATTAGGCGTGTCTTAGTTAAAAACACTAGTCTTAGTTAAAAAAAAGATTAAAAGACAGAGAGTGTTATGAAAATATTGACACATTAAGTACAAAAATTGGGCTGAGGGGTAGACAGGATGGGGGCAAGTTGACGCCCCTGTGATTGATGGTCTAAACGACTCATTGATTGATGACAGATGAGCCAGAGTGAAATTAACTGTTAACTCTTTCTTTCTTTATTAATTTCTTTGGCCACCTTCCAAAATACACACACACACAGGTGGAGACAGTACTCAGTCTCCACAGGTGGAAACTGAGTACCCACATGAGCCACAGGGATGTTAGAAAGAACTTTTTCAGTGTCAGAGTAGTTAACAGATGGAATGCATTAGGCAGTGATGTGGTGGAGGCTGACTCCATACACAGTTTCAAGTGTAGATATGATAGAGCCCAGTAGGCTCAGGAACCTGTACACCAGTTGATAGACAGTTGAGAGGCGGGACCAAAGAGCCAGAACTCAACCCCCGCAAACACAACTAGGTGAGTACAGACACACACACACACAGTAGCCACAAGACATACAAGCTTTATTACTTCTGATTCTGATGGTAATATTAAGCCTGAATGACAGCCATATGACTTATTCTCCACACCATGTTCTCCTGTTCTGCACTGACGCACTCTCTTCTTCACTATAGGGATCTATATAACTAGAGGGTTCTGTTCTCCACTACAGGGGTCTGTTCTTTACTGGAGTTCTTGGTTCTCCACTACAGGGTCTGGTCTTTACTGGAGTTCTTGGTTCTCCACTACAGGGTCTGTTCTTTACTGGAGTTCTTGGTTCTCCACTACAGGGGTCTGGTCTTTACTGGAGTTCTTGGTTCTCCACTACAGGGTCTGTTCTTTACTGGAGTTCTTGGTTCTCCACTACAGGGTCTGGTCTTTACTGGAGTTCTTGGTTCTCCACTACAGGGTCTGTTCTTTACTGGAGTTCTTGGTTCTCCACTACAGGGTCTGTTCTTTACTGGAGTTCTTGGTTCTCCACTACAGGGTCTGGTCTTTACTGGAGTTCTTGGTTCTCCACTACAGGGTCTGTTCTTTACTGGAGTTCTTGGTTCTCCACTACAGGGGTCTGGTCTTTACTGGAGTTCTTGGTTCTCCACTACAGGGTCTGGTCTTTACTGGAGTTCTTGGTTCTCCACTACAGGGTCTGGTCTTTACTGGAGTTCTCGGTTCTCCACTACAGGGGTCTGTTCTTTACTGGAGTTCTTGGTTCTCCACTACAGGGTCTGGTCTTTACTGGAGTTCTTGGTTCTCCACTACAGGGTCTGGTCTTTACTGGAGTTCTTGGTTCTCCACTACAGGGGTCTGGTCTTTACTGGAGTTCTTGGTTCTCCACTACAGGGTCTGGTCTTTACTGGAGTTCTTGGTTCTCCACTACAGGGTCTGGTCTTTACTGGAGTTCTTGGTTCTCCACTACAGGGTCTGTCTTTACTGGAGTTCTTGGTTCTCCACTACAGGGTCTGGTCTTTACTGGAGTTCTTGGTTCTCCACTACAGGGTCTGGTCTTTACTGGAGTTCTTGGTTCTCCACTACAGGGTCTGGTCTTTACTGGAGTTCTTGGTTCTCCACTACAGGGTCTGGTCTTTACTGGAGTTCTTGGTTCTCCACTACAGGGTCTGGTCTTTACTGGAGTTCTTGGTTCTCCACTACAGGGGTCTGGACTTCACCTAAATGTATTTTCTTCACAAGCCTGTTCTTATCTAGATAGCTTTCTCTCTATTCGAGTTCTGACTCTGCATAGATAGCTCTGCTCTTAACAGGATCGCTGCATCTTGTAATAGACAGCTCGGTTCGTCAATAGATAGTTCAGTTCTTTAAAAGACAGATCACTTCTTCACTTGATATTTCACATCTTCAACATATAGTTCACTTCTTCAAAATATTGTTCAATTCATAAATAGATAGTTTAGTATAATTTGCACCTATGATCATCCTGTGAACGGTAGTTTATTGTGACCACTCTCCCCTCACTCTCCCTCCCATCGCTCTCCCTCCCCTCACTCCCTCCCATCACTCTCCCTCCCCTCACTCTCCCTCCCATCACTCTCCCTCCCCTCACTCTCCCCCCCATCACTCTCCCTCCCATCACTCTCCCTCCCCATCACTCTCCCTCCCATCACTCTCCCTCCCATCACTCTCCCTCCCATCACTCTCCCCTCACCCCATCATTGACTCCATCACTTAGTGAGGATAGGAGAAGGGGACGAAGTTTTCCTATTTTGGTCAACTTCACGCCAAGTAGCTCCAGGGGATGAGTCAGGGGAAAGTGTCAATTTAAAGAAAAAAAAAACTGTTTTCCCCTCAAGACTTCCGAGATGTTTGTGTGTGTGTCTATCTCCTGGATGCTCCTGGACGCAGGTTCGAATCCTCGTCACGGCCCTTGTGGATTTGTTCATGTGTCTATCTGTTTGTCCCCCATCTCTTCTCCCCCTCTCTCCCTATTACTTCCCCCCGTCCTTCTCTGTCTCTCTCTCTCTCTCTCTCTCTCTCTCTCTCTCTCTCTCTCTCTCTCTCTCTCTCTCTCTCTCTCTCTCTCTCTCTCTCTCTCTCGCAAACACAAGTTCTGACAAGCATATCAAGATATGCAAATTGAAGATGAGCGAAGCTGAGAATTTCCACTTGCAGTAACTTAGTCTAATTTGTAAGACGTTTGGGTCTTTGTCTAGCTGTGTTTATGTGTGTGAGGGGGGAGGGGGGACGCTTAGCCTGAACTAAGCCAAGATAGCCTATCACTCGGCTACGATAGCCTATCGGCTCTAATGACAGTCTTAATAATTCTCAAGAGGTTCATAGGCCTCAACCCCAAACCAATGATTCGAGCATGAATCATTATATATTTCTAAAGTTGTCCTTCACATGGAAGGGAAATTACACAAATGAACTCTCCAAAAGGTCATTTTGAAGCTACAATGGGCCTGGCGCACTTGACTAAGGTACAACTTAGCATCCTCCGAGGCACAGGGAAGGTGAGTAGAGAATGACGAAGACTACCATGTGTTCCAGGAGAGTGTGGTGAGGTGATAATGTGATCTGACTGAGCATACTCGAGGACTGATGAGCGGCGCCTGTCAGGACTGGTTACCCTTATATTTAGTACAGTGGGGCTGCGTACTCTTGGACTTTTCTGAGACTCCATCCCTTAGCTGCCGACTTTCTTGGAGTGGTCGGGGGTCGTCATGCCCGAGCTGCATACCCCTCTCCCCCAAGCCATTCTCTTCCCCCCACCCCGTCTCCTCCTCCCCCTGCCCACATGTCCCACACTGAGGGCGGTCATTCTCACCAGCAGAATCACCTCCCGGCGTCACCAGGCGTCTCCCTTTATTTCTCAAAGTTTCCTAATCTTATCCCTTCTTCTTTTCAGACTTGGAGCGCTCCTGCAGGCCCGGCTCGTCAGAGGCAGGACGCGTGAAGGGCGCTCATCGTGTGGTCTCTCCTCAAGCCCGAGGATCTGTCTTGGACCCGCGACCATTAGCATTTAGAGACGGGGAATAGTAACTTGCCCGATAACTAAGTGTTGTATAAAAGAAGTTTTATTATATGAAGACGTTTGTGGAGGTGTTAACCTGGTAAAGAAACCTGACTGGCAGTGCTTGCAGGAAGTGGGAGTTCTCACTGGACTTTGAAGCAAACACTAAGGACTTCTAAGAATGTGTATTGTGAAGTACGCGACCATAGTGGGAGTCCTGCCAGATATAATATATAAAATATACAGCATTTAGCAAATCCGGACAAAATAAGTTTGCTGATTCATGTGGTTTATGATATGGAAGGTCAATAGCGCTCATCCTCGCCCCTCCAAGGATATCTGTGAAGGAACTCTTTACAGGCGGGACCCGACGGGATGGAGCAGACTCTCACCTCCTCTCAGATGAAAGCAAGAGGGAGATAAGAAAACAAGGAGAGAAAACAACACAAGGGAAACAGAGACCGTGTGAAAACACATGTGAAGGGAATCTATAGAAGCAAGTAAAAAAAAATTAAAACAAATGAGATCAGGTTGCTGTCGTTTGACTCCCAGGCAGTGAGGGGAGCACTAGACAGGTACAACTGGGTGATCGGTGGTAATTAATGACTCTCTCCCCCTCTACCCGAGGCTTCCAACGGCTGTACAAAATGGAGAGGAAACAACGGTAGAGAGAAATACACCACAACTGACAACGTTAAATGTATTAACAAACCTGGAATTGAAAGAAAACAGTGCATTGTGATTTTTTCTCAGGAAAACAGAGAGATTGAAACCCGAGAGAAAAGAACGAAAAATAGAGTGATAGAACAAGGAAAGAGAGGTGAAGGCAGGAAAAGAGTAGAAAGGTGTAAGTGAGAGGGGGAGGAAGAGAGAGAGAGAGAGAGAGAGAGAGAGAGAGAGAGAGAGAGAGAGAGAGAGAGAGAGAGAGAGAGAGAGAGAGAGAGAGAGAGAGAGAGAGAGAGGAGGATAGAGATACAAGTTACACTCTCAGTAACGTGTGTGGCAGCAAGATACTCCCACAATGACCAATACGGCAGCCTGTACGGGCCTGAGCCTGCCCGTCCTCTCCCGGCGTCCCCACAGCCCTCATAACCCCCAAGATAACCAGCCCAAGATAACCTCAAGAAGCCCCCTGCGCCGCCCCCCGCCCCTGTCCCTCCTGCTGGTGGTCGCATCCCTCCTCCCGGTCGCCATGACAGGTCAGTACCGCTTCTCAACTCTCTTTATTAACTGAACCAATCTGTCTTGTTACACTGAGCCTCTGGGTCCTAGTCTCTTCCTCGCCGGATATTCCTGTGATTTAGAACCTCACCCGTCCCACCAGGACCCTTTCCCACCACGTGTGGGAATTTCCCTTTCTTCTTGGAAATGTATTTAAACTTGTCTAATCCCATTGTCCCTTTTGTTTTCTTCTGCGTCTCACATGCCTCGTCTCCCTGAAGCAGCCTTTGCCAGTCTGGTCGGTGGGGGAAATGTTGACACAGAGTGTCTACTGTGTGTTGCAAGGTCAAGTCTTGCAACACATGGGACCTAAGCTGGGTGGAGCTTAGATGAGGAGCAAGGGTTAGAGATCTGGCCGAGGCTTAGAGCTCTATGTTTAATTAGGGCGTGGGTAGTCGGTCGGGCTTAGAGTGTAGCAAGGTTTACAGCGGGGCGGGTGTAGAGAAAATGCAGCATGTACTGTTGATTTACAGTGTGTGTGTGTGTGTGTGTGTGTGTGTGTGTGTGTGTGTGTGTGTGTGTGTGTGTGTGTGTGTGTGTGTGTGTGTGTGTGTGTGTGCACGCACACTTCACATTTCTATGCTGGTCACCATATTTACAACCACACACGACCAACATGAGCGTAATAACTCTCCGGCAACAGGAGGACCACAACACACACACACACGTGTACACACTTACGGCTGCCTCCGCCACTAGAGTGCTGAGGAATACGAACAGGAGGAGGGAGGGAGAGGGAGGGAGAGGGAGAGAGAGAGAGGGGGGGGGGGGGGAGAGAGAGGGAGAAGGAAGGAGGGAGGCCTGGCACTGGCAATAAAGTACCTGGGATAATATATGATGAGTGCCAACAACGACAAGGTCAGGTCTGTTCAGTCCCTGGACCCACTGTGTGCCTCTGTAACCTCTAGAGAAAGAGTTAGAGAACCGCCTCTAACTTTTTCCACCACCGCCCACACGATGGGTATGGGGTGCATAATAAAGATATTGAATATTTGGGCCACCTGTTAATCGTCTCTAAGCCTATAACTGGAAATATTGTTGATGAGGACGGGCTGGTGGTGATGAGGACGGTCTGGTGGTGATGAGGACGGTCTGGTGGTGATGAGGACGGTCTGGTGGTGATGAGGACGGGCTGGTGTTGATGAGGACGGTCTGGTGTTGATGAGGACGGTCTGGTGGTGATGATGACGGTCTGGTGTTGATGAGGACGGTCTGGTGGTGATGAGGACGGTCTGGTGTTGATGAGGACGGTCTGGTGTTGATGAGGACGGTCTGGTGGTGATGAGGACGGGCTGGTGTTGATGAGGACGGGCTGGTGTTGATGAGGACGGTCTGGTGTTGATGAGGACGGTCTGGTGGTGATGAGGACGGTCTGGTGGTGATGAGGACGGTCTGGTGTTGATGAGGACGGTCTGGTGTTGATGAGGACGGTCTGGTGTTGATGAGGACGGTCTGGTGGTGATGAGGACGGGCTGGTGTTGATGAGGACGGTCTGGTGTTGATGAGGACGGTCTGGTGGTGATGAGGACGGTCTGGTGTTGATGAGGACGGTCTGGTGTTGATGAGGACGGTCTGGTGGTGATGAGGACGGTCTGGTGGTGATGATGACGGTCTGGTGTTGATGAGGACGGTCTGGTGTTGATGAGGACGGTCTGGTGTTGATGAGGACGGTCTGGTGTTGACGAGGACGGTCTGGTGTTGATGAGGACGGGTTGGTGTTGATGAGTTTAAACAAAACATTACATAACGAGTGACTGCATTAGACAACTGGCATCTTAAAGGATCGGGGACCAAGAACTAAAGCTCGATCCAGTATGCACGTATGAGTGAGTACACACACACACACACACACACACACACACACACACACACACACACATGAATTGAGAGGTGTAAGATGACAAGAGTGTGGCCAGGCCCCTCATCTCGCTGCCCAGGTGTGTGTGTGTGCATCTCATTAACCTCCACCATTCATACGGGTAAAGCCAGTTTTATTGAATCATCAACGCCTGGCCTGCAGCCTCACCTGTGTGTGTGTGTGTGTGTGTGTGTGTGTGTGTGTGTGTGTGTGTGTGTGTGTGTGTGTGTGTGTGTGTGCGTGTGCGTGTGTGTGTACTCATCTAGTTGTGCTTGCGGGGGTTGGGCTCTGGCTTTTTGAGCCCGGACCGAATTTGAGCTCTTTGGGCTCTCAACTGTCAATCAGCTGATATTATTCCCCCCCCCCCACACACACACCCACACACACAAACACACACACACAAACACACACACACACAAACACAAACACACACTGGTGTTGATGAGGACGGTCTGGTGTTGATGAGGACGGTCTGGTGGTGATGAGGACGGGCTGGTGTTGATGAGGACGGTCTGGTGGTGATGAGGACGGGCTGGTGTTGATGAGGACGGTCTGGTGGTGATGAGGACGGGCTGGTGTTGATGAGGACGGTCTGGTGGTGATGAGGACGGGCTGGTGTTGATGAGGACGGTCTGGTGGTGATGAGGACGGGCTGGTGTTGATGAGGACGGTCTGGTGGTGATGAGGACGGGCTGGTGTTGATGAGGACGGGCTGGTGTTGATGAGGACGGGCTGGTGTTGATGAGTTAAATAAAATACTCAGGGGAATTGACAAAGTGGAAATAGATGAAATGTTCACACGTAATAATAACAGAACGAGGGGACATGGGTGGAAACTGGAAACTCAGATGAGTCACAGAGATGTTAGGAAGTTTTCTTTTAGCGTGAGAGTAGTAGAAAAATGGAATGCACTTGGGGAACAGGTTGTGGAAGCAAATACTATTCATACTTTTAAAACTAGGTATGATAGGGAAATGGGACAGGAGTCATTGCTGTAAACAACCGATAGCTGGAAAGGCGGGATCCAAGAGTCAATGCTCGATCCTGCAAGCACATATAGGTGAGTACATATAGGTGAGTACACACACACAAACACACACACACTGGTGATCACTCGACTAGGATGGATTTAATGATCACCTTTTTGATGGCGAGGTTAGGTGACTTGTATCGGAAACGATTAAATAATGACGGCTTCTCTCTCTCTCTCTCTCTCTCTCTCTCTCTCTCTCTCTCTCTCTCTCTCTCTCTCTCTGTTGCACTCTCTTCATATATGTCTTTCTGTTCTTCACACTCCCCCTCGTTTTTATACACTCTATTCATGCTCCTTACTCTCGTTTTTTCTGTCTCCTTTCTATTTCTATTAGTGTATTAGGTCTAAGATAGCGTGTATTAGGTCTAAGATAGCGTGTATTAGGCCTAAGATAGCGTGTATTAGGCCTAAGATAGCGTGTATTAGGCCTAAGATAGCGTGTATTAAGCCTACGATTGCTAGGATATATTGGGTTAGGTTATTTATGTTACGATTGAAAAAGTTTACCATTTGGCCACATTGACCTCCCGGCCGTCCATCACTAAACATTGGTACCGTCCACCAGACACTATCAGGTACCAGGACACAATATTTTGTGGTGGACAGGTGAGGTGTCCCCGGGGGGGGGAGACTGTGACCCGTGACCTTCACAACAAACTGTGGAGAACAAAAGCCGTGTTTGTTGCGCGCGGTAAATGTCTAATCAAAATTCTCCGTCTCATTTCCATTGTTGTATTATTCAGAGATGCATTAAGAGGAGGAGGAGGAGGAGTGGAGGAGTCCCGGAGGAGGAGGAGGAGTGGAGGAGTCCCGGAGGAGGAGGAGGAGTGGAGGAGTCTTGGAGGAGGAGGAGGAGGAGTGGAGGAGGAGGAGGAGTGGAGGAGGAGGAAGAGTGGAGGAGTCTTGGAGGAGGAGGAGTGGAGGAGTCTTAGAGGAGGAGGAGGAGGAGAAGGAGTGGAGGAGTCTTGGAGGAGCAGGAGGAGTGGAGGAGTCCCGGAGGAGGAGGAGGAGTCTTGGAGGAGGAGGAGGAGGAGGAGTGGAGAAGTCTTGGAGGAGGAGGAGTGGAGGAGCAGGAGAAGGAGTGGAGGAGTCTTGGAGGAGCAGGAGAAGGAATGGAGGAGTCTTGGAGGAGCAGGAGAAGGAGTGGAGGAGTCTTGGAGGAGCAGGAGAAGGAGTGGAGGAGTCTTGGAGGAGCAGGAGAAGGAGTGGAGGAGTCTTGGAGGAGCAGGAGGAGTGAAGGAGTCTTGGAGGAGCAGGAAGAGGAAAAGGAGGAGACGAAGACTAAGAACAAGAAGTATGAAGCATGTGGAGGAGAAGACGTACAAGGAGAATAGGAAGAGAACGACAAAAATAAGGAAGAGGAGGAGGAGGAGAGGTGAAGAGTGGGGGGGGGGGGTGTTTGTGTTTGTTTAAGAAGAGGGTGACTGGGAGTGTTTGGAATGGTTGATTGTGTGCGTCGGGGGGTAGGGGGGGAAGGAGGGGGGGGGGTAAGATGCGCAAGCGCAGGAATTTGTACTTGCCTGTATTCGTCTAAATTTGTATCTTGGCCTATTTGTACACACTTATATGTGCCTCTAGGAGTGAACTTCTGCTCTTGGACCCCATCTTTCTTATTTATATTGTTCATGATTCTTGAGGCTATCTTGAGATGATTTCGGGGCTTAGTGTCCCCGCGGCCCGGTCCTCGACCAGGCCTCCTATTTGTTACTCACCCCCAGGAAGCAGCCCGTAGCAGCTGTCTAACTCCCAGGTACCTATTTACTGCTAGGTAACTGGGGCATCAGGCTGAAAGAAACATTTTGCCCATTTGTCTCTGCCTGCACCGGGGATTGAACCCGGAACCTCAGGACTACGAATCCGAAGCGCTGTCCACCCAGCTGTCAGGCGCCAACCTGAGAACATTTCCGCCACCCTACATCATTTCTAAACTTAAGAGTAGGTTGACCTAAACTATAGGTCAACCCAACCCATCCTAACCTAACCGATATAAGATATAGAATGTTGTGTTTTATGTATGTATATGGCATGCACATGCAGGCGATGAGTCACAATAACGTGGCTAAAGTATGTTGACCAGACCACACACT